TTCCTCTGGGCCAGTAGCAGTGGGACGATGGCTCAGAAGCCCCTACCTCTGTGCCGGGAACAGCAGGACTCAGTACCTTGGTCTGGTGGTCTGGTGTCCTCTGCGTCTTTGTTGTGTGGAACCAGGTGGCTGCCTGTCCGCTACAGGGTGATTCGGTATCTTCCGCGCCACTCAGGACCTCGGTAGGGCATGCACAGACCTTCCTGTGTGCAGCGGGCTGATTCGGCATGTTCTGTGGGACTCAGGACCTCAGTAGGGCGTGCACAGACCTGCCTGTCTGCAGCGGGGTGATTTGGCGTCTTCTGCATGACTCAGGACCCAAGTTGGTTCTCTTTTTGATTTTGCATTGCCACTAGGAAGTTTGTAGACTTCAAAAGGTGGTTTGAGGCAAGGCGGTAGAGGCCAATCCACAGAATTGCGCAAACTGTTTAATTGTCTCTGCTCAAGGAAGAAGAAGATAAAAGGTTCTGTAAGAGATGCAGCAGTAAAGCCAAGCATCTTTAACAGGGCTTGGGTTGAGGCACACCTTTAAAGTCCTCCTGCTATTTGAGGCCAACAAAGGAGAAGACAGAAGGGATGACAGACTACAGAGGATTGAAGTTAACAGAGGAACCAAATGTGTGCATCAAGAACTGAAAGATGGGGACTTAGGGGAGGACTGAGGAATAAGAGACCAGTGAGCCCAGAAGTCTTGTGCTGTCTGCTCTTGTGTCAGTGAGGGCCTGCAGGTCGACCGCATCTTTCATGAAGTCCATGGAGTTGAGCTACTCTCATGGCAATTGTTGCTGAAATCTCAGTTTTGGCATCTGAACCTATCAGTTCCCTCTTCTGGTCAATTGGTGGATCTTCTGTATGAGCTGCTTCTGGGCACTGGAACCCTCTGCAGAGAAGATTGACTTGCATGGCCATTGGGCAGGTGGGAGCCTCAAGTGCAGACCTAACACTGCTGCTTCCTGTGGTTGCTGGGGTCCCAGACAACCCAAAGGAGCCAAAGTTGGGTACTAGCTGGAAGCCTCTCTGCAAAGCCTCCAGTCCCTGATGGATCTACAGCTGTACCTGCAAAAATGGAAAGGATTAGGAGTGGCACTAACTTCTGTATCTTTAGCAGGAAGATCAGGAGTTGCTGTCAGAGCTGCTCCTGTAGCTACAAATTCTCCATAAAGATCATTACACTCACCATCCTCTGAGCATCAAATTTGGGGCCCTAAACTGCATATGTGGGATGCTGAGATCCCATTCTTCATCAGCCAGAGTTCTCAAAGATCTGCTGGAGGAAGCCTTGCATTACTGAGATGTTGAACATCCCTGACTTCAAGCTAGCTCCACTGGTCCCAACAAGGGTCAAGCTTTCCCAGTGTACTTGGCTTTCCCCAGTCCTCTAGTGCCCTTACCAGCACACTGAAGGAGGAGAGGGTGAGGGGACTTCTATTCTCAGTCTGCAGAGGAAAAGAGGATGAGCTATTGAAATTTTTAGCCAGAAAAGAGAACTGATTGTTGCCAAACTTTTCCTGGGAAGAACTAAACATAGGCTCTTGGATGTCTGTGTACATGTGTCACAGGTATTATACCTTCTGGGGATAATCTGAAGATAGCTCAGGTCCTGACCTCATTGGGCATAATCCTCCTGCACCATGGCTACACTCCAAGAGGCTCCAACATCTACCTCATTAATTTAAGATTATGGAATATGTATAATTCATTCCTAGGTTCTGTTCCAACAACTGCTGCATCTAGGGGGTGGCCACATAATGTGGTGCATCAGGTAAGGCAGGAACATGGATTGTCAGCTGAGAAAAGCCAAAGGTAGTGAGCAGGACCACCCTCAGAGAGGCCATGTGGGCTGCAAACAGTAATGCCATAGTAAAGCCCTTCAGAGTTCACATCTTGCCATTATTTTCCCTGGGTGTTGGGCATGGAACTACAAGATTTAATATTTACCCTGCTAGGTTTCAACCTTTCTTTGGTCCCATTCTTTTCCATTCCCCCATTTTTCCAATTTTCTTGTACAGAAAAAAGTTGTTTTAGATCAGGTACATTATCAAGAGGGATCCTGGATGAGTTTCCAAGAGAAGAATTGTGCAGTCAGGGTGAGATATTGGGGTTTTTATAAGGGTTTAAGGATATGGAAAAAGGGTCAAGACAGCAATTTTTTTTTTTTTTGGTACCAGGGATCGAACTCAGTACCTTTCGTTTGTGAGGCAGACACAGTGCCACTGAGCTAAATACCCAGCCCAAGGCGGCAAATTATTAATTACCTGAAGAATATCTTTTCCTACATAATTTAGCACCTTGTAGATCTCTGTACCTGTATTTTGTTAAAATTATTTTTTTAAATTACATTTTTAGTTGCCTTTAGCTTTAGATAATGTCCCGGCCCGCGGGTAAGTCAACAGAGACCCTAGAGGGGGAGTGAGAATGACAAAGGACAGGGGACACGAGAGATGGAGACAAGACAGGTTTTTGATCAAGTCTCGTTTATTGCAGAAGCTGCTACAGCATATATACCGTAGGGCTAGAGGGAAGGAGCAAGGG